CAGGGCGGCTATTCGGCTAGTCAGCCTCTGAACCTCTTTTATTTTGCGAGGTGGTCTTATATCTAAGATGGCCTTTATTTTTCCGGGTTGGCTTCAATGCCACGTCGGTTGACTATATAGCCTAGAAATTTACCCGAGGTAACCTCGAAGACACACTTGTTGGGATTTATATTCATATTATATTTTCGTAAAATTTGAAAAACACTTTGTAAATCATCTAACAAAAAAATTGAATACTGGATCTTCACGAGCATGTCATCAACATAGCATTCAATTTTATTGCCGATTAACGGCTCAACAATTTTATTTACAAGGCGTTGAAAGGTTGCCCCAACATTTTTTAGTCCGAAGGGAATGACCTTGTAGCAATACAACTCGAGCTCAGTTATAAAGGCAATTTTTTCTTCGTCGGCGGGGTCCATCCTAATCTGGTTGTAACCGAAATAGGCATCGAGGAAGCTCAACAACTCATGCCCTGAGGTCGCATCCACTAGGCGGTCGATCTTAGGCAGTGGGAAGTAGTCTTTCAAGCAGGTTCTATTTAGGTCGGTGCAATCGACGCACATGTGCCACTTTCCGTTGGCCTTTTCTACCAGAACTAGGTAAGCTACCCAACTTGGGTAATGGACTTCTCTAATGAAGTCTGCCGCTAGGAACTTCCCGACCTCTTCATCGACTACCCTCCAGCGTTCTGGGGTGAGGTTGCGCTTCTTTTGTCTAATTGGCCTGACTAAGGGGTCGGTATTTAATTTATGAGTTAGCATTTTGGAGTCTATTCCGAGCATCTCTATTGCGGACCAAGCAAATATATCTAAGTTTATTAGTACGAAGCTTACTAGCTGAGAGCGAAGTGGCTCTTCGATCGAAGCACCGATATGGAGAGTCTTGGCGGGGTCATCGGTTGATGTCGGGATGTGGACCGTCTCCTCTATTGGGGCAGCTCGCTCGTCGGCATACTCTATTGGTCACTCGAGCTCGATGTCAGTCGCTAGCTTTGCTTTCTCCTTGAGGGCGGCTACGTAGCACTTGCGAGATTCGAGCTGGTCACCTCGCACAACTCCTACTCCATGGTCCATTGGGAACTTCATCGCTAGATAGTAGGTGGATACTACCGCACGTAGAACGTGCGTAATGTGTTGACCTTCTATGGCGTTATAGGGAGAGGGAGTCTCAACCACCAGAAACGTGTGCCCGAACCTCACAATATTTGGCCACGTGCCGGCCTCTACGGGTACTGTGACTCACCCAAGAGGTCTGACCTCCTCACCGCTGAAGCCTACCATGGGAGTGTCTGTCGGCTTTAGGTCGCTTTTCTGTAGCTGCAGCTTGTCGAAAGTGTCCTTGAATAGTATGTCTGCCGAGCTACCCGAGTCCACCAGGATGACTTCGAAGTCATTGAGCCTCAGTTTTATCACTAGAGCGTCGTCATGAGGATACTGGATCCCGCGCGCATTTTCCTTGAAGTAGATTGGTTCTTCAAGCTAAGGCCGCTTTGGCGGGTTCTCCTCTTCATTTTGTAGTTCACGGACTGAGGTTTGTCCGGCTGCCGATGCACACCCTGCGATGATGGATCTGCCAGTAATCATATTGATTACCCGATGGATCGGTATCTCCTCGGGCAACTACCATGGTGGCTGCTTGTTCTGCCTGCTGGTCTAGGGGGCATTCCTTCTCTGGTCCCCCTATCGGTCTGCTTGCCGATCTACCTAAACTCTCTCTTATCACTGTATAAAGTTTTTTAAGTATCCACAACGGATGAGCCCCTCGATCTCGTCGCGGAGGTTCCTACAGTTCTCTGTGCAATGCCCATGGTCTCTGCAAAAATGATAGTAGACATTCCGGTTCCTTGTTGTAGGATCTCCCCTCAACCTAGGAAGCCACTTGACAAAGGAGTAGTCCTTGACGGCCATTAGGATTTTTCCTCGCTTAGCGTTGAGCGGTGTGTAGTTCATCCTTTCAACAGGTGAGGTACTGGAGCGCCGACTTGACTTGCGAGCTCGCGAAGGAGATCGGCTTCCAGATTTGTTTCTTCCCCTGCTCGGGGACTTGCTCTTTCTTCTTTTGTGTCCGCTATTACCTGTGTCATCATTGTCTCTTTTTCTTTTCTCTGTCGGGTTGTCAGTCCTCTAGTTAATTTCCTCTTTGGTGCCGATGAACTGATCGTCTAGCTTGAGGAATTCGGTGATGTCTTATGGTTTATTGGCCACCACATGTCATTTAAACTCCCTGTGAGTTATTCCTTTCTTAGCTGTCATGAGTCTTACCGCCGGGTCTAAGTCTGGGATCTGCAGGCAGGTGTCGTTGAAGCGCTTGATGTAGCTTCTAATCAACTCTCCTTCTCTCTGAACCATGTTGAGGAGGCTTTCCTGTGACCTCGAGCACTTCTTGCTAGTAATGAAGTGCAAGGTAAACAAATCTGTGAACTACGACCAGCTCTTGATCGATCCCGGTGCAAGGTTCCGGTACCAGGTCCGAACTACACCTTTAAAAGTGGTGGAGAAGGCCACGCACATACCGCACATACAAGACTCGTCAGCCCTAGCTAGGTGCATCTGGGACTGGAAGGAGTCCACATGATCATTAGGATCGAAGGACTCGTCGTACTTGTCCAAGGGAGGCATCTTGAAATCTTTGGGCATCAGGATCGCCAAGAGCTCGGAAGATAGGGGAGACGACCTGGAAAGTAGGGGAGGAGCGGCCTTTGTAGCTATCGAGCTCGCTTCTTCCTTACCTTTAGCTTGCCCTTCTTGTTGGTTCGGTTTCGCTGGCTGGCTGTTCTGAGTTGAAGTATGGTGTGCCTTGCGATGTCTCCGTTGTTGCCTCTTTACCGGCTCGGCATTGGTGCTACTGATTTTAGTGTGTTCTGGCACCGTTCTGCCTCGAGGTCGTTCCTGATTCCTTGTGGGATTCTGGGGCTGACTATCATGAACGGAGAGGTCCTGTCTTGAGTCGGTGCCCCGAACCCCGAACTAGTTATCTGCAAGCGAACCGTCATTTTCTTGCTACAAACGCCGATGAAGATTGGCCCTGTTAGGCTAAGTATCCCTAGACTTGTTTCCGAGGTTCCCTTGTGAAGCAGGTGGAGTAATCTGACTGTCTCTCCTCCCACGGGATGAGACCTGACTCCTGGGAGGAGCTGGGACTTAGGAAGTCTCTTCGCCTCGGTGGGGAGATCGGATGACGTCCTGGTTCATGCGAGGTCAGTTCTGATTCTATTGGGCCCCTGGGTGCCGAGGTGGAACCGATTGTTGGTTCTACGGCAGTGGAGGGAACTACTGCTAGTACTGTTGGTAGAAGAGGTACTACTGGTACTGTTGGAATTGCTGAACCTACTGCATTTGGACCTGGATGGCCCGAACACACTGCACCAGGTCGTTAAACTAGGACTGTCCAACTCCGGGTGGAACCACATAAGGCTCAAAAAATGTTGCGCCTACCACTAGGGAAGTGGGGCGTTCACCTATGTGGTGCTCGGTGGCACGGTTAGCGTTGGAACCCCAGCCGCAGTAAGCGGGATGGTGAACAGGCCGATGCACACTGAAGGGAGTTGGGGTTGTCCTCCGGAGACGTTCATTTCGTTGCTTTGTCCGATGTGATTGGAAGATGTCATTGATGTAGAAGAAGGTTGATAAGTTGTAAGAGGGATGACTTTTCGATCGTTTCCCACATACGACGCCAATTGATGTAGCGCAATCTAACTACTCCCTACTGGAGGATGATCTGGCTTCCAATCGAGCAGCGAGCTAGGTGAATCTGCAAGGCAACGGATCAGAGAACCCAGGGTGGCTAACCCGGCGAGTTCATTCCAATGTTTAAGTTAGTATACTGTGGTGCGAGCTGAAAGCTTTGAGAGCTAGAGAGCTAGAGAGTAGAAAAATCACGCGTACCTTGTGTCATTGGGGTTGGTGCCTTTATATAGTTGAGCTCTTGCGGGTTTCGCGGATCGGTTCCGGGATCTTTGTCCTAAGGGGATCCGTTTTCGCTTTAATTGGGGAGTAACGTATCAATTAATAAAGTTTATCAATTCCGCCCGATTCGGATGGGAAGAAGATTAGGCCTGCCGTTACGTGGCGTGATCCTGTGAGGTTCGGGGTCTATTGGAGAAACTTCTGGAGTCGTTACGTGGCGGTTCGGGTTGATAGCCCCGAGTTGATACTTTGGTTCTTTAGTTCCGAACTGTATTGAATTCTGAGGTGCCCTGATGCCGAAGTGACCCTATGCCGAGGTGACTCTGTGCCAAGGTGACTCTGTGCCGAGGTGACTCTATGCCGAGGTGATTGAACACCCGAACTCAAACATTGCGAACTAGTCTTGCTAGGCTGAGCTGTCATCCCTTGGTTTGGTCGTGTCCACGTGTCCCCTTCTCGCTAGGTCACGCCAAATCACCCTTCATCAGATTTGTAAAACTTTTCCTTCCTTTTCCTACTTTTTCCTTCAAACCAAACATAACGTTAGGGGTTTGAGTTGAAGAATGATAAGATAATTTTAGAATATTGTAAAATGGGTTGAACATAAAAAACGGTAAAGGAGTAAATTAGCAATCCATTAATCTATTTAACGTTATCTCACTGCTCCGTTTTCCCAGTGAAATGGAACTCCCTTAATATTTTGAAAAGTTATTGTGAGTTTAAAAGATTTTATAAAAAGTGAAATTGGGTTTAATGAGGAAATGCCAAATTTAATATTTCTGTTTATATCAATACTCAATAGATATTTAGTGGAAATGGTCATTAGATATAATATAACAATACAATTTTTCAAATATTTGTACGGAGAAATGTTATCAAACACAACCTTACTCGATCAAGACTACCGCGTGATTAATTACGACTTTTATGATACCATTTCATTGTTTAAGAGGTTTTCACAACTTTGTAAAATGAGAATGGCTTAGAAAACCGAGAGAGAGAGTGAGGGGTAATTTTATTCCCAATTTATCCTCGTTAGTTTTTATAAATAACAAAATGCCCTTATATATAATGGCAACTTAATATCTTCATATCTCTCTTCTACAAACTTGAGGTTCCGACTGGGTATTGAGAGCGGAAGAGAAAATGGCAGCTCTCATGGCTTCCCAAACTTCCATCTCTACCTTGTCTGGTAACCCTTACCCTCGCCTACCCAAGCGAACGGATTCTTCCAACCGTGTAATCCTCTCTCTTTTTGCATCTCCTAAACCTCCTGTCGGTCTAGTACTCCACCGAACCAAACACGACGTTCTTCGCTCGACCTCAAGACTTACAGTTTGCGCCTCCTCTGCTGCTCCCGTCCTTCCCACCGACCCGTCGGTGGAACCCTCGAATGCTACTCCCTCAACCCTTGTATATGATTCGACCCGGACTATCACGAACGTCATCGCCGTGGCTTTGACGCTATCCAAGTTATTCGCAGAGGCAATTCGAGGGTTCGCTCTAAAGCTGAGGCAAATTTGCTTGACCCCATCTCCTGAAGAGATGGCCACAATTCAGACCATCCAAGAGAGCTTGGTTTGCACGGTGGGACCCTTGTTCTTCGCTGCTCTCCGTGATCGCCCTAGTGGGTACTTGAACACGCCTCTTACCGTCGTCGCTTCAGGCATGGCGAAGTGGCTTGACATCTACAGTGGAGTACTGATGGTTCGGGTGTTGCTTAGTTGGTTCCCCAACATTCCATGGGACCGCCAGCCTTTATCGGCCATCAGAGACCTATGCGATCCCTACTTGAATCTGTTTCGGAATATAATCCCGCCGATTTTTGATGCCCTGGATGTCAGCCCTCTGCTAGCATTTGCCGTATTGGGGACTCTTGGTTCGATTCTGAACAACAGTCGGGGAACTTATTGAGGATGAAGATTACTGAGCAACCATTATTATTATTTTGTATCAGTGTAGTTCGGGAAAGGGTGAGATTACTACAATTTTGTAGGCAGATCTTATGTTTTTCTAGTTTGGAGATTCTATTATATCATCTTCTTCGTATGATAAAAGACTGGTTTGGATACTTGTCTGTTTGGGAGTATCATGGCTGAAATGTTATATGTTTCATTTCCTTTCTTATGTATATGATGCCTGGTGATTCAAACTGTTAATGTTCATCTAAGAAGATTTTCCCGTCAAAAAGACAAAAAAAAGGTTCATCCAGAAGAAATGAAATACATGGCGAGTGTTACATAATGACCTTTTCTTAAGGCTGAAATCTTTGTTTGGTGTCTCCATTTCTGCTACAACCAAAACAGATTCGACCGGCTTAGTCTCTGAATACTGTGCACTTTGTTGAAAACTAAATGAGTAGAAAGTTCTTTTTTAATAGGTTATTGTTGCATGTGCTTTGTTCTTTCTAGGAGGGTTGAATTAGGGAATTGAACAGCTTAATTGAAGAAGTTTGAAAAGAAGCATTCAATTGCATTTGAAGACCCTCATCTGGTAATCTTCACCTTCACTGGATAGGGAGCTCTCCCAAGACAACAATAGAAAATTTATGACTTCCTGACCACAACTTTACATCTAGGATTACAAACATAATATCTATATTCATTATTTCCCCCGCCTGGTCTCTTATAATATTTGCAGGTCATTCTTGCGGCTCCTTGTATTGCAATCAATACCCAGAATACTTAATAGACATGCTACTCCAATGTAGAGGCTACAGGCTAGGAGAGTGAGGCAATATATGGAAGGCTATCTACATGCAGTCCCGTGGAGAGTGGAGACTTAATGAGAGAGAAGCTTATTAGCCCTTTATCACAAGTTTTGTAGAGAGAGAGAGAGAGAGAGAGTGGGTTGCTGTTCCAAGGTGTTGTCATGACAGATGACTTAATGAGAAAGGGTTTCTGCAGTTTGGAAACCTCTTGAAGTTGGTAGATTAAAGCTTAATTTAGATGGCTGTTCTTTAGGCAATCCTGGAGCTTATGGTGTGGGGGGAGTGGTGAGAGATTCAGATGGGATTTGGGAGATTAACACCCACTCTTTCTAGAAATATGGGCTGTGGAGATTCCTTGAAAGCTGAGATCAGAACTGTCACTCAGGGCATTAAATTACAGCAGGGTTGGAGGAATGCGAATGTGTATGGGGACTGCCTAACTATTATTTCATTGCTGAACTCACGTGAGGAACTGCCTTGGAGATTCAGGGGTTGATGCAGGATCTTTGTGATTCAGCACTATTCTTGCAACCAACTTAGGTCTAGCTGTGTAGCACAAACAAAGAACTAACAAAGAAAGAAGAGAAGAGAAGAGAGGAGATGGAAATAAGATGACAACCCTAGGCAAATCACACCCCCAACTTGGCAATCACACCAAATTCTGTAGAAAAACCTTCTTTGTTCATTACCAAATTATTCTCCCAATGAGCCTTACAAGCTTAATAAGAAGGAAGCTTCCAAGGGAGAAACTTACCCCCCCAAGTTAGCTTGCCCAACAAGCTACTTACCAAAAGAAGTTAGATTAGACTAAACCTGCCCCACACAATTACAAGCATAAATCCAAACAAAAAGGGGAATTACTAGACTAAGACCTGTTCCCAAACATAACCCCCCCCCCAAACATGCAAAATTTTAAAAATACCCTTACTGTACAGAAATGTCCTGTCCAGTAGCAAACTGAACCACACAAAGATTATCTTAAGGTGGATTGAAGACTCTAGGATCTTCTCAAGTTGATCCACTGCTAACCCAGCTCCCATGTGGGCCGCATGTCTTTGTAATGATGCCAAATGAGCACAGTAACAGCTTTGGTTCTCTTTTGATATGCCTTAAGTTGATCCCCATCAGGGGTATGGTCAAGAATGCCAAAGCCTTAGATTGCGTTTGGTTGCATACACTGAACTGTTGCAAATTTGCACTCTGGTTCAGGTTTGCATCTGTTTGGTAAGAGTTCAAAAATCCTTCAAATTTGATCCAAAAATGCATATGGCCCAGGGTTGGCATTGAAAATAAGAGCAAATTAAGCTTTCAAAAATTGAAAGCAAACTTTGCTATCATTATTGGACAAAGTAAATAGCATGTCGTTTTGCATCCATTGATTCCATTCTCGGGTGTCTTCTTCCAACTCTGTTGTTGACGATCTCTGAAAACTGATAATCCAATCAAGCTTGTGAACGTTTGATCTACTACTGCCTTTCGATCTTTGAAAACTGAGAGAGTAACTCAGTACTCACTCTCAAGCTTGTACCACATTCAATTTTCTTTTTTGTTTCTCATTTTGATTTTTTTTTTTTTTTTTTGTTTTCTGGTTGCCTGGGAGGGGAGGGAGGGGACAACGGCTCCGAACTACGAACTCTGCCATTGGCGATCTCTGAAAACTGATAATCCAACCAAGCTTGTGAACTCTGTTAGATCTACTACTGCCTTCAATCTTTGAAAACTGAGAGAGGTAACTCAATTCGCACTTGCAAGCTTGTACCACATTTGATTTTCTTTTTGGTTCCTCATTTTGATTTTATTTTCCAGTTGCCTACCTTGTTGGAAGAACGATCTGGCCTTATTCTTCAAATCCATCGTAGTACTTGGAGAATCTGAAGCAAAATCCTCATTGGTTGCAGATATAAGAAGGTTTTTCCCTTTTCTCAGCCACTACAGTTCCTATATTTATGTATTTCCCTTTCTCCGAGTGTTTTTGAGCCATTTCCTCTCATTCTTCCTTTCTTCTCAGTTTTCCTTTGTTCTGCCTTTTCTTTCCTCTCAGTTTTCCTTTTCCTCTGTTCTGCCATTTCTCTTAGTTTTCCTCTCAGTTCCAAGTGATTTTGAGTAGATTGGGAGAAATTTCCTAAGCAGATTCTTTATTGGAATTTGCAATAAAAGAGACTGAATGCCTTCATCGTATATTGGACTGTCATTTCACAATTAGGATTATGGATTTTCAAACCCCATCCAAATATATCTCAAATTCATGTTTCTTTTTTCCTTTCTTGGTTTCTAACATTTCAAGTAAAAACATTATCTAGATATAATAAGGAAAGAAAACTGAAAGTCTTCTAAAACTGTGATAAGTTGGACATAAATCTATTGAATATAAAAAATAAAAAAAGAAAGCCAAAAGTCTTCTAAATTCTTCAATTAAGGAAAAAAAAGAAAGAAGGAAAGAAAACAGTTGTGATTTTCCATTGAAGATTGACTGCAGTAGGTTAAGATTACATCCACATAAATTCAAAATTTGGATTAAGAATCTTATCATTGTTTCTCCTGACTAACAAGGCTTTAGATGTGTTGAGATTTGAGACCTTGTTGTGGATTAAGGAAATATAGATGCAATTTATTCAAGGTTTATAGTATTGGAAACATAGTGTATTGGAAAGGCAATTTTAAGAGACATATCGGAATATGCCTTGGATATGCATGTATATCGGAAAACAATTAAGATACACATAAATATGCATGGAAACACTATAAATACTTCAATAAATTATAAAAATACATTAATAATATTAAATATAAGACCTTAATGAGGTATGTATACATTAAATTAATATATTTTAATGGTTTTATGAATAAATACATTGTAGTTAATTAAAATTTCATAAAAACCTATGCTTAAGCATAATTTATAAATTAAAATTCTTAAGTTTTATAGGATGGGAAAAACCCAACTCACCTATCTAACCATAAAGCATGCATTGGCACAACTTCTATGTGGAAATATAATTAATAATTATTATTTATTTTTTTATTTTAAAAAATTATAGAAAACAAAAGTAAAAAATAAATAAACATTGTACAATATATTCAAAAATAATTATTAAAGAAGAAATTTCAATTGCTCTATGGATATGATAGATAAATCCATAGATCTAAAACATATTAAGTCCTTATAGGAAGAGAAAAAAAATTACATTTTCAAATTTTTTGTTAATTTATATTTTCCCCAAATATTTTCATGAAATTTCTATAGATATAACACAAAAAAATGTGACTTTGAATGTAAGAAATGTAGAACAACATAGATTTAAACATTCAAGAAAAAACAAAAAGAAATCACAAGATATTATAAAAAATTTGAAAAACTTACCTATTTTTGTCATATTTTTTCAATATTTAAAAAATCTTACAAAATTTAACAATTCACGTTTGTTTCTTGCAAATTTTTGCATATCTAGCACTTTAGGAATAAGGTTTGGAGTTGAGTCATTTGGGGGGAGGGGGGGTTGAAAGACTGCTTATTTAAGGGGAAAGAAACTTGCTTCCCCCTTTATTTTTTTTTCCAGTTGTTGGCCATATCTTTTTTGTAGCACATCGGTCGATATGCTATCGATATGCCCTGATACACTCCCAATACACCCCTGATATGGTGGAAAAAAGATGATATCGTCGCTTTTTCACCATATCTCATATTGGACTTTTAAAGATACGATATGTATCGAAATTTGAAACCTTGAATTTACTAGGCATTTTTCCTAAAAATGAAATATAAATTAAAAGGAAATTCAAATAGCATACAATTTTTAATTTGATTTTAAATTTTAAAATTGAATTCTCCTTGTGATCAACGACATTTTCACCCTAAATTAGTGAAAACAAATTTCTATTACAATACAAATAAGAATTCCAAAAAAAAAGCTTCAAAATATAGTCTTTGTTACACTTGAATTTGCAGAATAAAGACATTAGAATCCCAGCTAAGACCTCAAGAACCCGACTACTATTGCTGTCTTAGATTTGGAATTCATTGATGCCAAAACTTGTTTTTCATAGTTGAAGGCACCCTTGGAGGCTAACCTCACCTAGTCGCCAAGCAGTTTTGTATACTGTCTAATAAAATACTTTTATATTGTTTTTTTTTATTGAGATTTTAAAATAGACATATTAAACAAAAATATTCATTTTTTGTGTTTATAAACTATTTTCTTTTTATTATTTTCTTATTTGTTAGGGTTTAATCAACACAAACATTGCTAACTGCTATATTGAGTCCTCAAAGACTTCAAAATCTGAATCAATTGGTAAGGGAAGAACTTAAAATTTTGTCTAATCAACACATTTCTTCTTCCACTTATTCTTTTCTTCTTTTCTTCTTTTCCTATAACAAAAATTTGAGTCCAGCCCCTATATTTTTTGAATTTTCTTTTCTTTCTTCTTTTTCTTCTCATAAATATGTTGATTTTCTAGACTTAAACATAAAGTTTATAGTTTTCTTATGAAAATTATGGATAATTATTAAGGAAAGATGGTTATCGAACCTAGGGAACTACCCTAGGATATGTGGTTTTTACTTAAAAAAATCCATCGCCTAGGCAACTAGGTGACAAAGTGCCTCCTTGTTGTCTAGCGTCACCTTGGTGCCTTGAAAATTATGCTGCATCTATAGGCTTTATATGTGTTCCATGATACTTTTGTCTGGTAACAATTAGATTTGGAAATCATTATTGCTGTCTTAGGTTGACATCACTTACATGGCATGAATATATGATGATAAGATACTTGTTATCAATTTTTTTTTTATCAATAATAGAAACTTTATTAAGATTTATGAAGCTTTAGGTACAATAAGGGGGAGATAAAGAGTCTTATCTCCCCATCAGTAAATTACAATGAAAGAAGATTAAAAATTAGCCCAAAAAATAGTCTCCCTATTCGCCCCTTGCTTGGCCAACCCATCTGCAAAAGAATTAGCAGTCCTTTTCACCTAGATGTATTGTATCTCAATGCCCCTACATAGCCATAAGAATTTTTTCTTCTCATTATTGTAACTCCACAAGCCACTGTCCTCTTTCTTCAACCAGCTAACCACCACCTTTGAATCACCTTCCAAAATCAGCCAACTGATATTTAGTTCCCTTGCTCTTCGAACCCCTTCCAAAGCTGCAAGGATCTCAGCCCTAATAGAATCTCCTTCTCCAATAGGGCCTGAGAATAGAGCAATAATCCCTTCCTCATTCCTGAAAACTCCCCCAATCCCAGAGGGCCCTGGATTCCTTGTGCTACTGCCATCAAAATTCACTTTTATAAATCCGGAGGGAGGAGGGGACCACAAGGGACTAAGAGTCCTCTTACACAGAGTAGAGGTTGCTATCTCTTTCCAGCTTCTTAACAGGTCAGCTATAGGAAAGTCTGAGAACAGTTCCATAGTTTTTAGCCAGTGGGCAGCCCTTAAAAGTATTAGGTCTAATAGTTCTTCCAAGAATCTTTCCTTTTCTGAAAATATTTGAGAGTTTCTTTCCTCCCATAATGACCAACACACGGCTGCCCTATTACTCCTCCACATCATCTTCCCTCGCTTTTTAGGCCATCTGAAAAACGAAGGGGAGAACAAACCTTGGATACTCTCAGGAGGATTCCAAGTACACCCAAAGCGAGAGAGTGCCCACTCCCAAACAGTTTTAGTAACCTAACAAGAGACCAAAAGGTGGTAACCAGATTCCCCATCATCTTTACAGAGAGAGCATCTATTAGGAAGTAAACAAGAATTGGGTCTCCTTTTCTGAAGTAGATCATTTGTATTTATTCTTTTCAGGAAAGTTTCCCAACAAAAAAACCCAACCCGATGAGGAATGGGCCTGCTCCAAATTTCCTTAATCGGAAAGGACACACCAGGAGGGACAGATGATTGAGTTAAGGTTTCAAAAAATGAAGCACAGGGGAAGGTTCCTGAAGTAGAAGGGATCCAAATTCTGGTGTCTTCCCTATTAGAATCAAGGAAGATATTCTTAAGGATGGCTGATAAAGGTAAGAGGCTGTCCAAGTCTGTATCCTTAATTGCCCTTCGCAGGTCGAGGTTCCACCCAAAACCAGAAGTGGAGTCTGAAGGAACTAGAAAAGAAGAGATAGGCTCATTTTTCAAATCTAACAGAGCATACAAGGAAGGAAACTGGTCCTTTAGAGGTGAAACCCCAACCCAAAGATGTTCCCAAAATTTTATTCAATTGCCAGATTTAACACTGTACCTGATCCAATGGGAGAAAACTGGAAGAAGATCATGAATGGATTTCCACAGATAAGCAGCTGTAGCCCTTGCCACAATTCCAGAATCCCAACCGTTGTCTTCCAGCCCGTGTATGCTAGCCACGATCTTTGTCCATAATTTTTCCTTTTCCACTATGAACCTCCACAACCATTTCTCCAACAACACCATATTCCTCTTCTTGATGTTTCCAATCCAAAGACCTAGTTTTTTACATCTAATTACCACCTCCCATCTCACCCTATGATATCTCTTCTCCTCTCCCAACTCCCACAGAAAATTCCTCATTAATTTTTCCAATAAGTTGGAGACTTGGTGGGGATCTTCTTAAACACTAACAAATAATAAATAGGTAAGTTAGCTAGGGCGGACCTAATCAGAGTGACTCTCCCTCCTAAGAAAAGATAATTTCTCTTCCAGGATGCAAGCCTCTTCTCAAATCTCTCCACTACCAGAGTCCAAAAGCTTTCATTCTTAGGGTTATCTCCTAAAGGGAGGCCCAAGTATGTCAAAGGCCAATATGATATTGCACAACCTAACACACCTGCATAATTCCTTAACTCCCTCTCCTCCACATTCACCCTCACCACACAACTCTTATCAAAGTTCACCTTGAGGTTAGACATCTGCTCAAAAAGTTGTATTGCTAATTTTAAAT